TCCTGTAATTCTAACTACACAGAAGGCTGAGATCTGAGGATTGTGGTTCAAAGCCAGCCTGGACAGGAAAGTCTATGAGACTCTTATTTCCAATAAATCACTATAAAGCCAGAAATAGAGCTGTGGCTCAAGTAGTAGAGCACTAGCCTTCAACAACAACAACAACATCATCAACAACAACAACAACAAACTCAGGGACAGAACCCAGGACCAGCGCCCCCCTCCCCCCACACAAAAAAGAAATCTTCAACTAGATGTGTTAGATCAAGGGTTTTTGTTCAATTAACGAATTTGGTACAAATAGAATAATCAATTTAATTATTCCACTGAGACCTTCTCATTTTAGATGAGGATTCAGATATATTTTAAGCACCAATTTAATTAGACTTTCCGCATTTCCTCATATTATCCGCCTCCTGAGAAAGTATTATGTTTCAAAGATTACAATAATACATTTAAAAATGGAGGGTGGTCATCAAATTAATACATTAATTTAAAACTTTGGTGCTAAGGCATTATTTTTACTGCTGACATAAATTTCTTACTACAAGACAGCTATGATTAGCCAGGCTCCAGATATGTTCTTAAGTAGGATCTGGTTATGTAATTTAAAATTCACAATTAAACATGTTGGCTTGGGAGAAGACCCCAGGTGGCTGGCAGTGTTAAACAGCAGATTAAAGTTGACACAACTAATTTCTTTACTTTAATCTTATTAGTGGTAGAGCAGCTGTCAACTGTAACCATCTCCATAAGTCCTTTGAGATATAAACAAAATACCTCAATATGCCCAATGAGGGAGAGTATTTATCAATCACTATGGCTAATTAGCTTGAAAAACTTAAAAAAAAAACCTTCTATTGTTGATGGTAGAAAGTTATTCACTCTTAGTAAACCTTGATCTGAAAGAAGATATTTAGAATTCTATTAACATAATCTTACTTATAAATAATCAACTGTTTAGTAATGGATTGTATTTTTTTTTGCCAGTACTGAGATTTGAACTCAGGGCCTGGCCATTGGACCTGAGCTTTTGTGCTCAAGACTGGTGCTCTACCACTTGAGCCACAGCTCCACTTCTGAAGGATTAAGGAAAGAATGAAACACAAAATGAAATATTTTGCAATAAGAAAGGAACTGCCATTTCTCTGGTACAGTTCTTTGGTAACTGTTAATCATTCATATCTGAGCTAGGTAGCAGTGGCTCATGCCTGTAATCCTAGCCTCTCAAGAGGTTGAGAGCTGAAGATCTCAGTTCAAAGCCAGCCCAGGTGGGAAAGTCCCTCATCTCCAATTGACAACCAAAGAGCCAGAAATGGACATGTGCCTCAAGTGATAGAATTCTAGCCTTGAACTTTGTAGCCAACCAAAATTAGGATGCCCTAAGAGCTCAAGTCCCAGTACACCACCACAATTTCAATTTTAACACTAACAAAAACGTATGTCTTAAATGAACCCGGAGGTTTGTTTCTTTTTTGCTTTTATGGCTTTGTCCTCTGAGGATTTCAAGACACCTGACACCGAACTTAGGCGGTAGCCCAGACACCTGTTACTCTAGCCAACAGCATATTGTTCTTACCTGTGCCTCTCCTTTGAGGAACAGAGCCTGAAAAGATCTGTGCAAGAGCCAGGTGTTGGTGTCTCATACTAGTACTAGGCCTAACACACAGGCCTGACTGCAAACCCAAGTATCACCAAAACCCCCACAAACAACAACAAAAGATCTAAGCCAAAGTTAGCACATGTTGGAAAGGAATCCCGGAGTCCTAAGTCCAGACCAATGCCCTCTGCTGTCAGGCGCAGCTGGCCACAGTGGCAGGGCTTGTGAACTTGTTTCTTCATTTCACCTGAGGCTTTTGACTAAGTACTGCCTCCTGAGGAAAGCATCTAGCACTGATGTTAGGATTTCCTGTCCGAGCACAGCCCCAGGATCATACTTGCGTGTCAGCAGCCAGCCTTACTTTTCAGTGCTTAAAAGTAAAGCTCTAAGAGTGCTTTGCCAACTCACTGAGGACAAGAATTCCCCAACTTGGAGACATGGAAGGGTAAGTGGGATTTTTTTTTTTGGCCGGTCATGGGGCCTGAACTCTAGGCCTGGGCGCTGTCCCTCAGCTCTTCAGCTCAAGGCAAGTGCTCTACCACTTGAGCCACAGCGCCACTTCTGGCTTTTTCTGCTTATGTGGTGCTGAGGAATCGAACCCAGGGCCTCAGGCATGCTAGGCAAGTGCTCTTACCACTGAGCCACCTTCCTAGCTCTAGTGGGCTTGTTTTTAAATTCTCTTTATTTCCTCCCAAATGCCCTCCTTGGTCTTGAGCGGTCCACAGGTCCTGGTACTCCTTAGCTCTCACCCTGCACTCTATCGTTCACACCCCTCTAATGGCTTTTTGTGGGGAGGGAGAAAAGCTTCCAGGAGCTTCTGTTAAAAGTATGAAACAACTGGGTGACAGTGGCTCATGGCTGTCATCGTAGCTACTCAGGAGACTGAGATCTGAGGATCCTGATTCAAAGCCAGCCTGGGGAGGAAAAGTCTGTGAGACTCTTATCTCCAATGAACTATCAAAAATCTAGAAGTGGAGCTGTGGCTCGAGAGGGCATGCGCTAGCTTTGAACAAAAAACCTTGGGGATGGCGCTCAGGCCCTGAGTGCAAGCCCCTGAGACCAACACAAAGATAAAATAACTAAACAAAGACTGGCACTTGCTTTTGAATATTTAAAGTTTTTTGTTACCTTTCCAATTTTCAGTGGATTCTTTTTGTATTTGTTGGAACCAGGGGAAAGCTCATGAAATTGGTGACTCCTCTTCAAGTGATTACTAAGAAGACTAGGTTAGGAAGGGGTACCCCAGACTAGGCTTTCTCAATTAGGGGGTCCTGTCACATTGTTTTCCACATGGAAGAAAGTTGCCCTGAAACAAGGTAGGCCAATTTGTTTTTTTTCAGGTTCATCTAGTTTTTGGGAAGACTTGTGTTACTCTCCTTTCAACCCTTAGCGCAGAAAACAAGTACCAAAGAATGCATGGCATATTCTAGCATTTTCTTCACCTTAGACTAGTAAAACTTGTCATGGCTGTGTCTGTGTGCTAGTACTGGATGTTGAACTTAAGACCTCAAGTTTTCCCTTGCCTTTTTTTGCTCAAGACTGGCACATTCTACCTCTTGAGCCACACCTCCAGCTTTTTGCTAGTTAATTGTAGGTAAGTGTCTCACAGATTTTTCTGTTCAGGCTGGCTTTGAACCATGATCCTCAGATCTCAACCTCTTGCGTAGCGAGGATGACAGGTGTGAGCCACTAGCACGAAGCCTGTCATGGGCTTCTAATATTTGAAAGTAGATGATGGTTTGTTATTGTCTTCAAACTGAAAGAATGTCCCACTTGAAAAAAAAAGAATGTCTTCTGTATTCATAAGTCAAGGACAATGGAAGAACCAGATATTTAATGTTGCAAGCTATTTTTTGGTGTGAGGACTGGGGCTTGAACTCTGGGCCTCCTGCTCTTGCTTGGCAAGAAAAAGCTTAAGGCTAACATTCTATTCCTTCAGCCACATATCCATTTCTGGGTTTTTGGTTGTCAACTGGAGATAAGGGTCTCAGGGAACTTTCCTGCCCGGGCTGGCATTAAACTCTGAGCCTCAGATCTCAGCCTCTTGGGTAGATAGGATGACAGGTGTGAGCCACTGGTAACTGGCTAAGGTATGAACTAAGTTATCAAAGCACTGTACCAAAGAACCAAATGGCAGCTCCTTTCTTATTGCAAAATACTTCTTTTGTGTTTCATTACTTCCTTCATCCTTCTATCCTTCCTGGCCAATTAATTAGCATACAGTGGGTGATGATTATACACTTAGCAACACACTGTAAACCAAGTCTACTTTGGCTAGGAAAGCCTGGAGCCTTCCACAGCTGCTGGATGAGGCACAAGATGGCTTAGTGAACACCACCTCCCTGCACCTCTCCTCATCAGTGGACCAAAGTGCCTTCATCACTGTCAGTGGCCAAGTACCCCACGCATTTGGGAGAGATACCACGTAAGCAGACTAAACTGTCTTGGTAAAAGGAGAGAAGTTTATATGATCTAAAGAGAACCTGGGGAATGAACGACCTCTCACCTGACATCGACAAAACACTTTATGGCTTGCAAAGAGCGTCCAAATAAACTTCAATGGATTCCCACCTAGCACTGTGAAGTGTGGTCACCCATTTTTCAAATGATGGAACAGATGCCATGAGATGAAGGAGCTTGAATGGATTCTCCCCAACTAGAGATGCTAGGTAAAACCCAAACCCAGCACTGCGCGGCTCCAAAGCTGATGCTGCGTTCTTTTTTTACTTTTCCTAAACCATCTGGGGGTGGGGAGAAACTCATGGATGAATAAAACATTCCTACTGCTGTGCTAACTAAAGCGTAAAAACATTTCCTGGGTAATCTTAATAAGTCTTTTCAAAAACTTCTCGTTTGGTAAGTCTCCTCAAAATGTCCACCAGCAAAGTATCACACTCCTGAAACAGGTGCTCAGGGACTAAAGGAAGACCTCAGAGCCCAGGAAAGCAGAGATGAGGTCCAAATGCTGCATAGAATGCTATGCCTATGAGTTGATTTACCATTAGGGACCCATGTACAATGTGGGTCCGAGCAATCTGGCTGGGCCTGCATTCTACCGCAGTTTGGCTCAGGAATGTGTGTGGACTTCCGATTTCACAGTGTGGGTCTTTCTACTTCCTCTCTGGTTGGCTTTTTGGTTTCTACTCCAATTCTAAAAGCAGAGCCGCCCAAAAGTTTGCCAGCTTCTCTCTGTTTTCCAGCGGGCCACTGACTAAAGAGATTTCCCAATAAGGCTTTTTAAGCTCCATTTGAATTTTGCAAGTGAGGCCAAACACCTCCGTTTTCCTCCACAGGGAGCGTACACACACATTCCATTTTCCGAGGTTTCCCCATAGGGAACCACGGGGCAGGAATGACTGGCCAATGAGATGTGAGAGACAGATGAAAACACAACACTTACTTGGGAGGAATTCGGGAGACCGTGTTCACGTTTGTAGCAGGGAGAAGGGCTTGAAGGATGTGTTCCAGGGCAGTTAATCCACCAGCGGCGTGAAATGCGATCTGATCTGCTACATTCTAGACAGAAATACGGACAGAACTGAGTTCACCCTCCCAGGCATAAAATTATAACCAAATAGGAAGCATTCAATGGATGTAGTGACCTTACAAATATCTGTTGGCTGTTTTCTCTGTGCAGGAAATTTAGGTTAACAGTAGTGACCATAAAGGACAAAGCCCTGCCCCTCATGAAACTTACAATTTAGTGAAAGGGACCAATATGAATCAGATCACTATATACAAGCTGTCCTTCTTTATGATAAATACCCTGATGAGAAAAAATTAGCCTATGATCTTAGCTACTCAGGAGGCTGAGATCTGAGGATTGTGGTTGGAAGCCAATTAATGGCTGCTGAAGGATACAGTCTGAGGAGACTAAACTGTCAGAGCACAGCTCATAATGCCTCTGGTGTGATCCCCGGAGAAATTTACCCATTCTTTACTTCAGAGAATACCTTTCCCCCCATATTAGGAATAAGCTTTAGGACCAAAGAGTAAGTTTGTTTTTCAAGCTGAAGGACATGTTTGCCTTGAATCTTTTTTCTTTTTTTTTTTTTTGGTGCTCGTCCTGAGGCTTGAACACAAATCCTGGACTGAGTGTTTGTGCTGAAGGTGAGTGTTCTATCCACTGGACCCACACCTCCACTTCTGGCTTCACTGGAGGTGAGAGTCAGGCTGGCTTTAAAGCAAGATCCTCAGATCTCAGTCTCCTGAGTAGACAGGATTATAGTAAGACACTAGAGCCCAGCACTTTGAATCTTCTTACACTAGTGAAGGAATGAGTGGGGTTGGGAGACATGGGAAGAATGATAAAAGGGGTGACAATAATGATGCATCACACTCAGAAACTGACATAGTGAATTGAAATCCCTCCGTAGAACTACTTAAAAATAAACTTTTTTTTTTTTTGGGTCCGGTTGTGGAGCCTGATCTCTGGGCCTGGGCGCTGTCCCTCAGCTCTTCAGCTCAAGGCTAGCGCTCTACCACTTGAGCCAC